ATACTCGTCTCGCAATGAGTCATCGATGGGCAAAGGGTTCGGAATCTCAAGCCGTGATAAATGATCCGCTACACCATTTTGAGTCCCCTTTCTATCCTTGATCTCTAGATCAAACTCTTGTAGCAGAAGAGTCCATCTGATGAGTCGAGGCTTGGCGTCTTTCTTGGACAGAAGGTATCGGAGAGCTGCGTGATCAGTGTAGACTATCACTTTCGATCCAACTAGATAAGACCTGAACTTCTCGAAAGCGTAGACTATGGCAAGCATCTCCTTTTCCGTGGTGGTGTAGTTGATCTGAGCATCGTCAAGGGTGCGACTGGCATAGTATATGGCATGTAATCGCTTGTTCTTCCGCTGGCCTAAAACTGCTCCTACAGCGTAGTCGCTAGCATCGCAGGTGATAGTTTACACTGATCACGCGGCTCTCCGGTACCTTCTGTCCAAGAAAGACGCCAAGCCTCGACTCATCAGATGGACTCTTCTGCTACAAGAGTTTGATCTAGAGATCAGGGACAGAAAGGGGACTCAAAATGGTGTAGCGGATCATTTATCACGGCTTGAGATTCCGAACCCTTTGCCCATCGATGACTCATTGCGAGACGAGTATGTCATGGCCATTTCAGTCCACACCGAGGCTCCGTGGTATGCAGACTTCGTGAACTATCTGGTGAGTGGGCTGATTCCTCCAGAGCTGAACTACAATGGAAGGAAGAAATTCCTTCATGATGTCCGAGATTACTATTGGGATGAACCTTTTTTCTTCAAGCGAGGAAAGGATGGGATATTCAGGCGATGTATACCAGAAGAGGAGATTCAGAGCGTCATCGCCCATTGCCATTCTTCCGATTACGCTGGGCATTTTGCTACATCGAAAACCGCTGCGAAGATTTTGCAGGCCGGGTTTTTTTGGCCCACGCTATTCAGAGATGTACACCAGTTTGTCTCCTCATGCGATGCTTGTCAGAGAACGGGAAATATTTCCCGTAGACACGAGATGCCGCAGCGGTACATCCTTGAGGTTGAGCCATTCGACGTTTGGGGAATTGACTTCATGGGACCCTTCCCATCATCCTGTGGAAACATATACATCTTGGTCGCTGTTGATTACGTCACCAAGTGGGTCGAAGCACTGGCAAGTCCGAAGAATGATGCAAAGACAGTGTTTCGGATGTTCAAGCGCACCATCTTTCCAAGATTCGGTGTACCCCGAGTTGTCATCAGTGATGGTGGAACTCATTT